ACCATTTTAAGCTGTTTGCTCTGGAAAAAATCTGACTAAATAATTCTTGAATTTAAAGATGTGAAATAAAACCAGTACTTCCTATGGATGAGCCAAAACCAATATGTCTACCATGTAGAGGAAGTGGCAACTTTAAGGCTCACATGTAGTCAGTCCCAGATGCCCACATACTCACTTAAGTGCATTATTTGATTTGATGAGCACAACAACCTGTATACATATGCAAACAGCACCCCAACTGGTAGAATGGGGATGCAGAAATCTGTAGGTGGTGATAAATCACAGTTGAGCGCTGTTTGCTTTCTGTATTCATCCAAACAAGGCTAAAAACAGTGGCACACTAGAATGAGTACCTGCAGTTTTAAACCTGTGGATGGAGCAATTATATTTTCTTAGCCACCAAATAAGTAGCATTCCTTTCTCAATTAAAAGTTGATCAGGGCACCGCAAGATGAATGCAGACTGATACAAGTATTACTTTACAATTAAGCTTTTTACAAATGGATGGGAGAAGTCCCCTTTATCAACACGGGTCTGGGAGAATGTGAGCATCAGGAGTTCCTACATTCACAGATCCCATATTCTGGAATCTCTTGAAAATATTGCCATTAGTACAGGCAATGGGATGTGCAGCAGCAGTTCAGCAATATGGTAATTTAGGCTTATGCAATTCACTATAGCTCTGCCATCATCAACAGTACATAGAATGCTTTCTCCTTTCCTACATGCTTAGATCATCACTTAGCGCATGAGCCAGAATTTTTGTGACCTTTCAGTGACGTATCATGGCCCAGCGGGTAATCAAACACAACCAAACAAAACCATCTTAACTTTGTTAGACATATCCATTAGTCACTGTTTTCTAAACAAGACCAAACAATTAGCAGGTCCTAATCGCTTAGACTGAGGGGAAATCACCTAAAACAGTGAAATTAAAGTCCATACTTCTCTTCGTCACAACCGTAACACACCTTTCTAATGTTCCTTTGGTGATTTTGGTGCAAACTCATTTTGCCTTTTGTTTGTAAAGAGAACTATTTTGACAACTTTTGGGACCCAATTAAATGTTGGACTATGCTCTCCCCCTTCACATATAGCTCTGGGTAATATGGGAAAAAGAGCACAGCATACATTTAATGTGGTACTGAAATGGAAAATATAAGTAGGATAAATTAAAGCTAATGTCACAACTGAGCTTGGATATCCAAGCATCTTCATATGAGAAATAATTAGTATTTTGATGTAAGAATGCTAACACATATGACTCTCTCTAATGGAAAACTACTGTGGGGTTATGTTTATGTATGTGTAAAATAGAATATTTAAAAGACAAGAAATAACTACAGAGTATTAAGGTCTAAAGCACATGCTTCAGTGGGTCAAAGCCAAAACTCCTGGACCCCAGATTAAAATCTGTTTTTTTGGAATTCAAGGGGTTTTTTTGTGTGAAAAATAATAGTTTGGAATACTCAAATATGTAAATGGCAAGGTTAAGACAAGGAAGTGCTGACAGTTGTTACCGAATGCTTCAACTGCACCAGCATGAAACCATTTGATACCAATTAAGTGATGCACCAAAATCTCTCAAGACATTATTTTTCAAAGCATACAGATAAAAACAAACGTTCTTCATACTTTTTTATATTTCACACACGCTTAGCCTTCCTATTTAGAATGTCAATCCCAACCATAACTCACCTACCAAATTCCCACATCACAGCAACTTGCTGGAATCCCTTTACACCACAAATATAAAAATAGCTTTTGAAAAAATTTGTAACACTATTTAAATAAACTCTCCTCAAAAGATGTAAGCTGTCCATTTTTTAAAAAAAGAATGATTCATGATCGTTGTTGACCTGAAACAACCTTTAAAATCAAATGTGGAAATGAAATTAATTACTGGGCAATATAATACAGAGGTTTGAGTTTTTCCCCCCTCTCAAGATTTTTACCATAAGGTAACCAGCAGACACTTATTTAAGGTGCCTTTCCAAAACAAGTATTTATAATTTAAATATCAGTTTTGGTCATAAATGCTCTATGGTTAATATTAGAAGATATTAAATCCATCTGGCTTACTTGTATCACCTTGCAGTGCAATGCAAACCTTATACAGATCCTTTTAAGAGGTCATAACAACAAATTTAGTGCTATTATACATAATTTCATAGTCTTGTAGAGGTTATGTATCAGAATCATTTAAACCTGGGTGGTTAACTATGTTTGCAAGAATCAGAATGATGTTGCTGGGTATAATTTCACATAATTACCAGATCCTTGAAGTATCATATATATTGGAGTTACTCACTAACAACAGGGAAGAACTTACAAAAAGAAAGGCAGCTTCTTCCAACTGCTATATATCAGTACCTCTAGTCAGTTTTCTATTTTGCTGCTTGGCCTGTTGAAATGCATTCTAATCAAGACCCTCTTGTTCTTCACCACTGTCCCCTCTGACATCCATTCTTTTCTCTTTATGGCCATTGTAAATTCTCCTCATCTCCTCTTCATACTTGATAAAGTTTTCCCCAAATCTTGTCCATGCTTTGTATGGGACAGTGATGGTGTTACGGTATGGAGGTCTCACTTCACTTACCTTCAAAAAAATACCATACCTGTTAGACCCCACATCAAAGTAGAACCTCTTGTTGTCCACCCTGAAGGAAGTCCCCTCTGGAAGTTCAGGAGGCTCATCACCTCCACTTCTCCGTTCTTCTATGTCTCCTTCACCATATTCCTCAATGAGCTGGACCAAAGCATCCCTGAACTCAATCATTCCCTGTGCTGGAAGAACAATAGTCTGTTCCTGTCCCAAACTGTGACCAAAATATCCTATCATGCCAGGTCCTCTAATCAATGTCTGTCTAATCCTTAAGAAACGCCCACGTTGATTCTCCTTGAGGTCTAGGTAATATTTCCTATTGTCTCTTTCAATATACTCAGTTTTTAAGACACTATGAAGATGCTCTTCAGATCCAACTGATGCTGGAGGTGATGGCGGATGATGATGCTGCCGCCTTCTTGAATCTTGCTCTTTGCCATTAGCGTGTTCGTTCCGGTGACTTTGGCTGCCCTTCAGGCCCAAATGGGCATAGTGTTCTATGAAGTCTCCCAGACAATCCTTTAACTCAGCAGCCACAGACAAGGAGAGAGTCAGCTTGCTTTTCCTGATATTGTCCTGCCTGCCTCTTCCTATCCAGACTTCTGCTATCTTCAGGAAGCGGCCTCGGGAACTCTGCTTCACATCCAGATAAAATCTCTTTTTTTGGATGTCCACTCTTTTGGAGGCCAGCTCCTGGATCTCCATGCAGCCCGCCTGAGAAGAGGAGGCAGGATAATGATACTGCTGCTGGGACTGGGAGTAAATGCTCCTGTGTAGGCCAGAGCCCCCCACACTCCTTCCTCCTCCTCCTCCTCTGCCTCTCTCCATCTTTACCAATCAACTGAAAACAACAAATATATAACAAAGATGCATAACACCATAGATATCCATTGGGCCTATTCTGCTTTCCCGGCAATAGCCTCTCATACATAATTAGCTTCCCTAGAAAGATTCTTCAATATGCTTGCCTTTTACTCTGACATGCTACCTTGCAGGGTGGGGAGAGAACAGAGCTGTTTCTGGCCGGTAGCACATGATAATGGGTAGAAGGGGATTTGAAGTATTTCCTTGCACAGAGATGTGGAAAAGCTTCACTTGCTAAATTTGAATGCCAGGGTTTCATTAAAGGCCCAGCAAAACAGTAAGTTTAGAAGGGGAGGCAATAACACAAGTCTTTTTCTTTCTTTCTTTTTTTTTGCTGATCGTGCTCTTGGACAGCATTTTGACATGCTTACGTTAGCAGATGAAGCCTTTCCCATCGCTTCATTTCCATGTCAAACAGTAAGTTTAGAAGGGGAGGCAATAATACAAGTCTTTTTCTTTCTTTCTTTTTTTTGCTGATCGTGCTCTTGGGCAGCATTTTGACATGCTTACGTTAGCAGACGAAGCCTTTCCCATCGCTTCATTTCTATGTTACAACAGCATCACCTTTTAAGTTTCACTGTGTCAGGATGCCGTTCAAGACACAGGAGCAGGCTGGTTAAAAACAGGCCACCTTATGCAGTCGCCACCCTTTTAAATACTGGCCTTGCTCCCATGTCTTCACATACTACCAGTGCAACCCTACGTAGAGGTACTCTAGTCCAAGCTCATTGATGCTGATGGACATACACCAGAGTAACTACACAGGAACACAAGCTGTAAGTTTAACTGTCAAGAATGCCATTAAAGATACGGGCGTGGGGACAGTAAAAGCGACAGCAGGCTTATGCAATTGCCACTTCTTCTTTTCTTTTTTTTAAAATGGCCTTGCTCAGCAGCCTGACAGGCTAAATGCAGCAGCAGGTAAAGCTTCCCCCCCAAAAAAAAACAAATCTCTTCCCACCACCTTTTTTTTTGGGGGGGGGAGGCTTCCCGGCTTTGCTAAATTTCTCCACGCCAGGCTGTGGTTGAAAAAGCACCAGGGCGGGAGACCTAGAGGGCAAGGCGGAACGTGCGGAACGGCCTGTCACACCACACCACCTCACCCTGACAGGGCACGGGGCCTTCGCGCCACCAGAAGCCTGTGACCCTGGGAGGGGAAGCCTAGCCTGATAGCCCTCTGGGCAGGGTCAAAGCAGACCCCTCCCCATTATTATAGCGTCTTTCACCCCCCCTCCCCCCCCGTTAAAGCCATACCGAGGTGGTGGTCCCCTTAGCGACCCTCCCCATCTATTGGGCGCTGTGCACACAACCTCTATCTCCCCCCCCTCCAGAAGCTCACCCCCAGCCGTCCCCCCCCTCCCCACTATGACACGCATGAGAGGCTGGGGGAGGTGGGCACTTACTCCATCCCGTTAGTTGTCCCTCGCCAACGTGCTCGCTCGCCTGCCTGATAGCCAGCCAGCTAGCCAGCCACCCCCGGCTGCCCGTCCTGGCCCCCGCAGCGCTCGCCTTCCCCGCGCTGCCGCCCGCAGGGTGCCGGCAGGAGCACCATTCGCCGGGCAGGTCCTACCGCCGCCTGCTTCTACCTCCCTTCGCGCGGTCCCACAAGGAAACCGCGCCGCTCACCAAAGCGAGAGAGGGGGGGAAAGAGCGCCGGGCAAGAGGGTGGGACGAGATTCGTTTTCTGTCACAGGTCCGCAGACGGCTTTTCTTCGGCGTCCACCCCTCCCACCTTTCCTCAGAAAAGACAAACTACAACCCCCGAAGTGCCCCGCGGCGTCCTCGGCTGGCGGGCGCGGAAGCTTCTTTGCGCACGCGCCTCACCTCATTTCACCTTCCAGAGTTGACAGCGGCGGGGGGTGGGGGGGATAAGTGGCAAAGAAGGTCTGAAGGGGCGGTGGCGGCAGCAGCAGCAGCGGCGGTGATGTCATTGTAGTGCGCCGGAGATGTAGGCTGGCCGTGACGGTCTTCGCGCGCGACTGGCGGGAAGATTGCTCTGAGGAGGAAAGGGAGTTGCGTAGAGAGAAGGAGAAGACTCCTGTGTCAAATTGGATAGAGTGAGTTTCTCTTCTCTGATTCCCTCCCTCGGGGAACTGGAGTTGTTGCCTTGTACCCGTCAATCATCTGACAGCTGCCATGCTCAAGCGTTTGCGGCATGCTAACGCTGCAGTGGGACTAACTGGACAGGGGCTGAGCTTCAGGGCCACGATTCTAAACGTACTTTGACAGGGACACGTCCTTCATATATGACTTCTTTCTGAATAGTCCTACTTAGAGTTGTGCCTGAATTGCTATGCTCACACTTGCATTGGGCTGTCTGACTGTCAGGAAAGCATTATGTTGTTAGTGGTTAGAGTGTTGGGGGTAGGATCAGGCAGACTTGGGTGGGGTCATAGAGTATCTGCTTGGCATGCAGAAGGTCCCAGGTTCGGTCCCTGGCATTTCTGATGAAAAGGCTCAGATGGTAACTGATGCAGAAGACTTCAGTCTCAGACCAGGAAAACGACTTCCAGTCAAAGGAGGCAGGACCTGGATAGACTAAAGGTGGGGGGGGGGGGGTTCCTGTTAATTTCACATACCAACCTGCTACTGGATGTCAGCAAGTGATGATGACCAAGCATGTGTTTGGTTAATGCTCGTCAGTCTGTGGTCTTTGCAAAAGACTCCTCCACTCTTCCCTAGACACTTCTGTACTCCACACATGAAGCTGCCTTATATACTGCCTTATATATTAACACATGAAGTTGCCTTATACACTGACTCAGATGATCTGTCAGAGTCAGTGTTATCTGCTCAGACTGGCAGTGGCTCTCCAGAGTCTCTTGCACATCACTGACTACCTCAGTCCTTTAAACTGGAGATGCTGGGAACTGAACCTGGGATCTTTTTCCTGCTAAGCAGGTACTCTATCACTGAGTTATGGCCCCTCAACAAATATGGCTGTTTGTACTATAGAACAAAAAGAAGACAGGCAAAATTGCGTAGTAAGCAGAAGATTAAAGGAAATGAAACTCGGAATGTGAAATGTGCTTTGTCAGCTTCTAAGGTTCAACAATGTACTTTCTAGAGTTTGATTGGTCTATGCCACCCACATTTCAATGAATTGTGGACTTCAATGAATAAAGGACTACCTCAGTCCTTTAAACTGGAGATGCTGGGAACTGAACCTGGGATCTTTTTCCTGCTAAGCAGGTACTCTATCACTGAGTTATGGCCCCTCAACAAATATGTCCGTTTGTACTATAAAACAAAAAGAAGACAGGCAGAATTGCATAATAAGCAGAAGATTAAAGGAAATGAAACTCGGAATGTGAAATGTGCTTTGTCAGCTTCTAAGGTTCAACAATGTACTTTCTAGAATTTGATTGGTCTATGCCACCCACATTTCAATGAATTTATGTTGGTGAATATTTGTTTTTACTCTCCTTGGACATTTGAAGATTTTAGTCATACTTGTTTGTTATTTATTTAGGTCTATCGACTTCCAGGGGATCTGCTTAGGTCCCAAGTTCAATCCCTGGCATCTCCAGTTTAAAAGAATCAGGTGATATGAAAGACCTCTGTCTGAGCCACTTCTAGTCTGAGTGACAATACTGACCTCGATGTTGGACCAATGGTCTGATTCAGTATAAGACAGCTTCTTGTGTTTATTTGTGCTTTTCTTCACACTGTGGTGACTCAAAGTAGCTCATGAGGAAGCATAAAAATATAATTTAGACAAAGAGGGGAAAATACACAGTATAACTTCAAATTCCTTGACTGGTTAAGGATCCACTATCTTAACTCACACAGGGCCACAGGTTTGTCAGGGCCACCGATGGCTGTAGCCTTTTGACTTGTGCCTCATGCCATGGCTAAGCTAAATACCTGAGCCCTTTGGGGGAGGGAGGTCTATAAGTCAAATAAATAAACGACAGAGATACCTCTTACAGAAACTCAACCCAGATCTGATTCAGGTGGCAAAGAGATGCTCTCAACCCCTGCTTATTGGAAGAGAGAAGTGGGTGATCAGCTAGACTGTTATCCTGTGAGGACAGTGTTTTGATTGAAGGACTGCCTTTTCTAAACAATGTTGCCCAAGCTGCAGTTCTTTGTGACTTTTCTTCAAAGGTGGTATTTTTTACTTTCAGCTAAAATACAAATGCAGATGAGGAAACTGACAGGAATATGGAGTCTCCTCCAAATAAGCTTCCTCTATGGATGACTAAAGAGAGCAAAGTGGATGCAGTGGATGACAAAAAGGTAGGGAATAAGAATGTATGTTGGGTCCACACAAATTTATAACAGTGATGGGAAACGTAGGGCTAAGATGAGGGATTGTGGAATGTGTGAACAGTTTCTGATAGAAACTGCCAAACATTTGTTGTGTGTTCGTAACCAGGGTCCCAGAGCTCTGTCAGCTGCTGAAATCTGCCTTTGTCCATTTTTAATGCAGATACTGTGATGTTGTTTATTGTGTTGGCATTAAGGTTGCAGGGCCTGGATTTTGTTCCAAAGGGCTGCTTCTAAGTGAGTCTACTCAGTCTTCACAAAGTGATTTCATAAATTCCACATGTTTCTTCTCTGTTTGTTGGAACAGGAACGATTTTATTTGTGCATGGCGTTGGCATCTTATACATGGGTCCACTGCATAAATTAGCTTCCTGAGCAGGTGTCTTCTTGTGGCACCTTATTCTAGCATAGGCTTTCATGCACTGGATCCACATGAAAGGGTACGGTGCAGTGAGCATTTGTTAGTCTTCAAGGTGACGCAGGGCCTCTGTTTATTTTTGCTGCAACAGATTACCAGATTAATGTGACTGAGAGTGTGATACTTTACAAAATGAAGCTATGCAAAAGATAAAAACTCACATGCAATGGACTTTTCAGGCTTTTTGAACTACCTGCTACAAATCAATAAATTTGTTGATTAATGTGCAATTCTTCCAATGAATGTTCTTAACTATTCAGTATACAGCAAAATTGACAGCAGCAAAGAACTCAATCACGTTCAAGTGGAAAGAACTAGACTCCCTAACAGTGCACCATCAGTATATAACACTATGGGAATACTTTGTTTTAAACGAGGTCTCATATAACCAAGCTAGAACAGATGATAATGCTAGTCAATCCTCTTTATTAGAGAAGTGGTCCCCCTTTTTGAATAATAAACCATACGGCTTTACGGATAAAGGTTATGTCCTGAACAACTACCAACAATCCCTCCTGTCTTTACACTAGGTATAACAATGCCTTTTACCATGATCGATAATTGTTGCCTGTATTTACAAGTTATGCAATCACAGATTGTCATAGCTGTCAAAAAAGTATACAGCAAAATCTATTGGAGTCACTTCTTTAAGGATTAGCTGGCTGCTCTCCTTTTTAGAGCCTAGAAGTTAATGAAGCCTGGTGCTGGCTGTCAAAAGTATGTTACGCTTGAGCTAAATGGAAAATGCAGGTCAACAGCTTAAATCATATTTTAGTGCTTGGCACAATAGGGCCTGGCAAACACTTGGCCAGAAAGCTTTTAATCTGTCTGTATATAACAGCTTCTGGAGTGTATGTAAGAGGGCAAATGCACTGTGTGTGACATGTCGGGTTGAGTGGTGCCTTATCTAATTTTTCTTAAACATGCAGTACAACAAGCTGTCTTTTCCCATTTTTATGAAACAGAGGAATCCAGTCCATCGGAGTGTCCTGGAAGACAACCTTCCTTTCTTTGAATTCCATGGTTCCATTGTCTACAGTTGTAATTCCAGTGATTGCTCTTTACTTTCTGAAGATATTATGTAAGAAGCATGCACTTATTTCAGTATTTTAAAATGAAGCCTTCCTCCTGCCAGTATGCACACTGAGTTATAGTTCTCACTTGCTGTCATTGTTATGAGCAGCGAGGAGGCATCCATCAGTCTGGTTATATATGAATATTATGTTCCAGCCTGTCCCATCAGCAAGCTGCTTTCCATCTGTGTTTTAGATTGAAAAGCCGCTTGCCTCTTCAGCAGTGCAAATGGCTGCAGGCACACTCCTAGCTTCGAGCAAACTTTCTTCTCCTGTACGTCCACAGCTGGAGGGAACTGTGGCTACACAGGACAAATACAGTAGAAAAGATTTACACAAGAGTCTTGCAAGCACCCTCTCACTTCTGTTCCAAGGAAATAAAATGTGGATCAAGTAAGGAAGAAGACAACCAGAACAGCAGCCCTCAATAAAACTACATTTAAGGACCAATGATCTTCTAGATTTTGGCATGGCCATTAAAATGATAACTGGGAAATGACAAAAAACCAACCCCAAACATCTTTCAACGCCAAAGATAACAACAGCTCAAATTTACCAAAGCTTTATCCAGGCTACAAGCTCAATGAGGGCTTGCTTACAAGTAATCAGCCATAAGATCAGGTTGCAAAAACTAATATAATGATTTGTGCACTAACAATTCTTCCAAAGAAGCAGACCAAGAGAAAATGTAAAGGGAAACCTTTCATGGTTACAAAATCCTTTAAAGGTCATAGGGAAAGCGCCTTAATGGACGGGTACAGAATGTTTGTGAGCGGTGACAGAAAATTAACTGACTGCAGTAAAGGGCTGGGCCAAAACCAATCCTCTATCTGCCATCAAAACTGCTGTCATTGCGCTGTTAACCACAGCAGCATCGGAACAGCCCAAAATTTGGTCTCCTTTCAGTATCACAGCTGTTGCTGTATGCAGGAGTAACAGGACCCAAAAACAGATTCCCTCCCCCCATCAGATTATCACAGTTCTTAGCAGTGCAGTCCTAATCTTTTCTACTTCTTCTAAGTCCACAGACTTAGAAAGATGTAGATGTGCTTAGGATAGCACTGTAAATCTCTTATAATTATTTTGCATTGAGCGTTTGGAATTGCTTCATGCAAAATTTGCTTTCTCTAGTTGCCTTGAGCACAGTGATGGGACAGGCTGGAACATAAACAATATTCATATATAACCAGATTGATGGATGGCTCCTCGCTGCTCATAACAGTGACAGCAAGTGAGAACTATAACTAAGTGTGCATACTGGCAGGAGGAAGGCTTCATTTTAAAATACTGAAATAAGTGCATGCTTCTTACATAATATCTTCAGTAATCATTCCTCTTGGGGATGGGGCATAGCTCAGTGGCAAACCTCTGCTTTGCATGCAGAAGGTCCCAGGTTCAACCACTGGTATCTCCACAGTTTAAAGGATGAGGTAGTAGGTGATATGCAAGACCCCTATCAGAGACCCTGGAGAGTTGCTGCCACGAGTGTACAATATTAACCTTCAAAATACGAAGCTGCCTTATATTGAGTCAGGCTATCAAAGTCAGTATCGTTTACTCTGACTGGCAGTGGCTCTCCATGACAGTTTTAACTAGAGATGCCAGGGATTGAACTTGGGACCTTCTGCATGCCAAGCAGGTGCTCTGCCTCTGTGCCATGGCCGCTGTCCTGATGGACTGATGGTCTGTTTCAGTATACGGCAGCTTCCTGTGGAAGCTGTGCCAACGTTAATGTCTTTCGGTGCAGATGCCAACCGTGGTTTGCAAGTTGGGAGCCGGACTCAGGTGCACGCGTGATCTCTTTCTGCTTCCTCGTCAACCCAAATTCCTCATCTCCCTTGCTGTAACGATGATTTCGTGTTTAAATGCATGCTAATTCAAATTCTGAACAAGAGAGGAACCCTGGCTAGCATTAACTATAGTAAGGGTTGTTAATGCTAAGCTGTGGTTGAGGCAAACAAGGAAGGGAGACCAGGAGGGCAGATGAGGAAGAGGGAGGAGGATGCAGATTGTTGAGTCTGCTTCCTGATTGGTCAACAACCATCTGCAGGAAGTCAGCATTATGTTTGCGCTAGACCTTTGAAATAGTCATTTGGAGCTAAACCAGAGATGCATGTTTAAATCTTCCAGTGCAACCTTGCCTGATGGAGCCGTCCTGGGATTTGACATTGAATGGACACCGTCCTACACCAAAGGGAAGGAAGGGAAAGTTGCTTTAATCCAGCTGTGCGAGTCTGAGAAAAAATGTTACCTGTTTCACATCTCAGCCATGTCAAGTCAGTACTGTTTTAACTTAATCTCTGCACAATAATAGAATTACTGTAATCATGTAAATTCTAGGACAATCACATTTCCCCCTCCCCCAATGCAACTTTGTTTTACGTATTTTTTGTCTTTGCACCCGGGCAGCCCGGAGTCTGCATCAAGAAGAAAATAATTTTGCAACCTGTTTCAGTGTCAGAATCACAGCCTATAATAAGATACACTCTTGCAAGAAGGTTTTATTTTATTAAAGCCATGAAACGGGTAGAACACAATCTCTGTCAGGAATGACACAATGGGCTTGATACAGGTATAATAAAGGAAGTTCAAAATAGCTTGGGCCAATAGATATGATTCCCGCTGGCGCCAAAGGATTCCCCTCGCACCCAAACCTTGGGAACACAACGGTTTGAACTAATTAAACAAGCGTTCTATTCTCACGCTACATTGCATGATAGACTAAGCAAAAAGCCTCCATGTACAAACCACCTGCTGCATTACTGATAAGTTGCCTTCAAAGCTCTGCAAGCGTACACAGAAAGGAATGCAGTTACAATTAAACGCAGGGGGGTAGGTGTTGGCATGCGCATATGAATTACTGGACATGAAGGCGAGGGGGGGGGTTTGGGTACAACTCATAAGCAAAGAAAATACACTTGGCAGCTTGCTGACATTCAGCTAAGCAGCCTGAGAACTCAACCTCTGTCATTCAAGTCTCACATGTGCATGAATGGTCTCCCTCCCTAAAAGCTATCAAATACGTAGCCTCGCACAAACATGTTTTATCAGGTGACCCTGCTGCAAGTGTAGGTGGGCTGTGTGTTGAACGCGTCATATCCCTGTTGGTTCTTCTGGACCCTTCAGTAGTTCTTCTTACCATTATCCTGCTGGACTGCGTAGCTGGGACTGGCTGGAGGGGGCAGAGGAAGTGCTGTTTTGTAGAGCTGCTGAACTTTCTTGGTAGATAAGCTCTACAAGCTGGTGCAGGAAGGTTGCAGCCCCCTGGCCAGTTTTCTTTAGGTGTATGGAGAGTCTTGCGTTCTTCCATCTGTTTTGGATCTTCTGGGAGATGTTATCCAAAGTTTTGGAGTACAGTGTTCATTGGTGTGCAATGACGCAGAACTTCGTTTCTCCATTCCAGTTGATTCCAGGGAGGTGGTGGAAGCACTTGACCTGTGTCTAGAGACACTGAAGGTTTGGATGTGCGCCATCGAATGGAAAGTGAATATGGCCAAGACCTAAGTTTTGTTGGTCAAGTATCAATCAGAATCAGTATTAGGTTTACAACTGATTTTGGATAAGTTGGATCTCGGGGTTGTTCCTGGGTCCAGTTCTGTTGTTTGAGAAGCAGGTTGCCAAGGTAGGCAAGGGGGACATGTTACAACATAGGTTGTTTCACCTGCTGTACCCGTTAAGGGGAAAGGCATGGTCATGCATGCACGGGTATAGTTCGGATTAAATTGCTGTAACATCGTAGTTCCAGTTAAAAGGGTGTATCTGCAGAGGATGGCACCATCAGTCTCTTCGACAAACTGCCACCACGCCCAAGGCTTAGAAGGGTATAACTGTGCGCAGGATGGCACTATAATATTCTCAATTTATGGATGGAAGGCTGAGGCTGATCAGTTGTGACTAAGGTCAGAGCACGAGTGCGTGGCTGAGTAGGAATTTGAACAGCCGCCTATTACCCATCTGTCTTCTATCCATCACTGGATCATAAATATGGTTTACCATCATCTTCCGCCCCTATATAAATCAATGGAGGGTTTTTTTGTGTGGGGCAAGTGATGCTCTGTATTGTTGGTGCTGGGGGAGGCTTCTCTTATGTTCTTATGTCTGAATATATTGCTCACAAGCACCGGGGCAACAGGAAGAACAAGAGTGGATGGGCATTAAGTCAGCCCTCCATCTCCTCCCCGGCCACCGAGCTGATTTTGAGCTGTTGGTCTTTGCTTTCGAGGACAAGCTTCCCTGTGCTGATTTTGGGAGGTTCAGTTCCTTTTTGGAATAGGCCTCATGTTACAGGACAAGATTATGGAGCACTGCTCACTACCTTGATGACTTCCTGTGGGCAGGAAGGAAAGATCGGGGCCATGCAGATTTTACTGAGCTAGGAGGTTGTCCCGGGCCCGCCCGGGACTCCGGGGCAACCCAGGGGACCCCGGAGGCATCGGGAGACGTTACCTGCGACCCGGGAGATCAACGAGGGAGCGGTACCTGGCAGCCGGCAGAACGGGGCGGCGAAACACGGCGGAGCGGAGAAAGAGACGGCCGCGCACCACAGCAAGCCTGCCCTGGAGAGGGGACCTCCCCGGGCCGGGCTCGGCTGCAGCACAGACGAGCAAGGAGGAGCGTCCTCGAGGACACAGGAGGCGAGGGCGGGGGCCGAGAAGGAAGCGCGGCACGCCCAGCCCCGGCGTCGGAGCCTTTGACAGGGGGCGGAGCCGTTTTTTGTGTGTGGGGCAAGTGATGCTCTGTATTGTTGGTGCTGGGGGAGGCTTCTCTTATGTTCTTATGTCTGAATATATTGCTCACAAGCACCGGGGCAACAGGAAGAACAAGAGTGGATGGGCATTAAGTCAGCCCTCCATCTCCTCCCCGGCCACCGAGCTGATTTTGAGCTGTTGGTCTTTGCTTTCGAGGACAAGCTTCCCTGTGCTGATTTTGGGAGGTTCAGTTCCTTTTTGGAATAGGCCTCATGTTACAGGACAAGATTATGGAGCACTGCTCACTACCTTGATGACTTCCTGTGGGCAGGAAGGAAAGATCGGGGCCATGCAGATTTTACTGAGCTAGGAGGTCCCCTTGCAGATAGTCTGGTTGGCTTTTCTGCTTTGCCATGAAGGACAAACACATGGTGCTACAAGTGGAGACTGACCTTGTGATGGATCCAGCACAGCATTTCCATGGGCACAAGGACTTCTACCCTCGTAGTGTGACTTTTGCATCTCCCACTCCTACGGCAACTTAAAAGCCTCCTAAAATCCTGTTCCTAGGGGAGAGGGGAGCCCCCCACACACTGGATTTCAAGGGCATTGCATGCTCCCACAAGAGCAGGGAACCGTGAAAGTCAGTCTGCAGGTGGAAATCCTTGCGCCTGCTGCAATGCTATGTTGGATCCAGTCCATTCGGCTGAAGGCTGAATTTTGGGTACAATTGTATTATTTTTACTCCGTGAGGAAATCATTTGTTTATTTTAGACTATTGTAAACAGCTTATGCTTACATAAAACAGGTGGGATATTCATTTCTTAATCAGATTAATTATATGTGTTTTCTGAAACTGTATTAGGCTTCCCCGTGGGACTAAAAATGCTGCTTGAAGATAAAAGTGTTAAAAAAGCTGGTGTCGGTATTGAAGGAGATAAATGGAAGCTGATGCGTGATTTTGAAATCCGATTGGACGGCATTGTCGAGTTGGCTGACCTTGCCAATGAAAAGGTAATAATTCACTCCTGGTATGGGGTGGATGCTCAGCAGAGAATTCATAGAAGGTCAGCTTTGTGAGGAACAGAGCCTTGCTAAGTGATGCTCATTCATCTACTGATATATTAAATTTTAAATGAAATTTATGATAAAAGGAAAAAAGTACATATCCCATTATGAGATTTCCCCATGGTTGTCGTTTATTATCTTACAGAGTCATATGCTTCCTTTTCTTTCACCTTTGTGTCAGCCTCCTTATTTTCATGATAAAAACGAATCTCTTCTTGATTTATTTGTGATTTAACAAACCCTTGAATGTTCTCAGACTCCTGTTTGACATTGATCTAGAATACGACCTCAGCTTAGTTGATTATTGTGTCGTTGATATGGGTGCTATCAGCAGGTTCAGAGGAGATAGGGCAGCATGAATATCCTGTTGATATGCTGGAACATTTCAAAAGCTGTTTTGTGTATTATGGAACTGGCTTCAGATCGGCCCAGTGCAAGTGAATGAATTTCCCCGACAGTGAAAGCTGTAAACATTTGGAAAGATGGAGATAGAAAATTTCACTTGTCAGAAATCCAGTATGAGCTCACTTGTCCCTTGGCTGTCATGTTATCTACTGCGCATAACATGTTATATGCTATGCCTTTGGAGTCCCAGAATTACGAGTGTGTTCACCTAAGAATATGCCCTTGGTTCTCAATCGGATGATACGTGTATTTATTTTGATGCCAGTTACATCTTGACCTATTTGTATGGCAAAGATAGTGGGCTTTATCATTGTTTAGGTGTTCTTTTAAATATGTTCTGTGAGCTGATGCCTTGGGAGTCTTTGAACTGAAAGCAGAGCCTTGAAATAATTTATTTAAATAATTTAAAATAAGGAGGTCTTATATCGTAAAAGGCATTTCACAGGAGACAGCTCCAGTTAAGTTCCACTTAAAAATTCAATGTTGTGCTTTTAAGACCATTTTAAAGTAACCCTTTATCAATGAACAATCTCATTTGGAGTCATTCCATCTTCGCCAGTTGTAGACATCTCCCTCCCAACGCACATAACCCTATTTACTGATACAGTTTCAGGAATAGTTTGTACTTAACTGTGGCAATCTTATTTTTAGCTAAAATGCAAGGAGATCTGGAGCCTGAACAACCTCGTAAAACATCTGTTCCACAAACAGCTTCTGAAAGACAATTCGATCCGTTGTGGTAATTGGGAACAATTTCCGCTAACAGAGGAGCAGAGGCTGTATGCAGCTACGGATGCTTATGTAAGTACACCCCCCCCCCCGTTCTTTTTTCCCTAGGATATGTCTAATGATGTGAAATTTGCAGGCCTTCTTTGTTTCTTCATGTGGTTGACGTGTTCTGACTATCTAGAGCAGAGCCGTGTCTTTTATAAAGACAGCACCCTGTCTTTGGCCCTGCTGGTGGACCTCCTGATGGCACCTGGGTTTTTGGCCACTGTGTGACATGGACTGGATGGGCCATTGGCCTGATCCAACATGGCTTCCCTTATTTCTTATGTTTATATAGGCCTGTATCCCAGAACTGTGAAATCACATGAGAATGTGGCAGGGGGTTGGATGTTATGTCTCAGCCTTAGCTAGTATCTTAGCACTTCTGGTTTTTTTTGAAAAACAGATGTGTCATCAGGTATCAGACTCACTTCCTTTGGAAGGCTAGATTGCCCATCTAGTTGATGCTCAGGGTTCACAGTCATACTCTTGCAACACAATCCCAGCTAGTATTGGCTGGGGGCCAATAGTAGAATCAGTGGATAGCCTCCACAAACACCACTTCTTCTCCAGCTGAAACTCCCACCCTTCCACACTCACCAAATTCCCCATGTGTTACCAGTATTCATACAGATGCCAGCCTGTTTGGTGTGGGCCTGCTCAGCCACCTGCAGCTCACAGTCCCACATTTTCTTAGGCCACGAAGAACATAAGAAGAGCCATCCTGGATCAGACAAGGAGACCATCCAGTCCAGCATTTTGTTCACACAGTGGCCATCCAGCTGCCCCTCAGGAGCCCATGGGTAGGGTGACTGCCACAGCACCCTCCCGCCCATGCTTTGTAGCAACTGAGTCCGGAGGGAGTAGAATATCCATCATGACCAGTAGCCATTGATAGCCCCGTCCTCCATGAATTTGTCCCCTCCCCTTTTAAAGCGTTCCAGACTGGTGGCCCCTTCCCCACATGCTTCCAGTTTGTCTTCCGAAACTGTCTCATGCCCATGTAAATGGCTGCCGTCCTAAACAGTTCCGTCATCCAGTTTTCCATTGACCGAAGGCCTCTGCTTCCAATTCCACACCCTCCTGCCCATGGTCTTTCCATGCCGCTGAGTGGCAGCTTGACTCTCTGCACCGCCCCCCCCCCACAGCCATATGTGAAAGGGGGAAGGAGCTGATGTCTCAGCTCGCATGATCTTGAGCCACCGCAGTGTTTCTTCTTCCTGTTGACTGTTCAGTAATTTACACGGAGCATTGGTGAATTGGCTCTCATTGGCCATTTCAGAGGAGCCCAGTAAGGCTCCTGCACCTTGTGTTTGAGAAGTAGTTAGTGTTGGGCTAGGAACAGGGGGTACAAATCCTCAGTGAGAAGACTTACCAGCAGTGCCATTCTAGGCAGAGTTCATCTCCTTCTAAATCTACTGAAGCTGCCTTGAATAGCCCTGATTCAGGGCCGGCTCCAGCTTATTTTGCACCCTAGGCGAGAATCCCTTATGGCCCCCCCCCCCGTGCGCCCACCAATTTTAAAAAATAAATGCATTTTAGGAAGAATGAAAAACACAAATAATCAAGGAACTCCCAGAGTATGGGGCCAGGTGCAGTTTGGTACCCCTAAGGGCCATCCCGCTCTAGGCGATCGCCTAGTGAGTGAGCCAGCCCTGCCCTGATTAGCCCAATCTCATCAGAGGTTGGAAGCTGAGCAGGGTTGGCCACGGTTAGCACTTGGGTGGGAGACCACCAAGGAAGACTGGAGCTGCCATTCAGAGGAAGGTGACGAGAAACCCCCTGCTCATCTCTTGCCTTGTCCTGGGGTCACCGTGAGTTGGCTGTGGCTTGGCGGCACGTAATTATTATGGTTAAATCCATTGAAGTCAAAGGTCTCCCCTTTCAGTTCTGCTTCTGCTCAGGATGGCACTGTGGCTCTGCTTTGGCCAGTCGTCTTGCGCTGAACCTACCTTACAAATTGTTGTGAAAATAAAATATGCAAGAGGGAAAGGAAGAACCACGTATGTTGCTCTGAGCTTCGTAGAGGAAGGGTACAAAGGTGATGCATGTCTGACAGACCTATATAGAGCAATTGCATCCTAATAAAGAATGGTCACAGGCAATGCTCCCTCTAAGCTGTGGAGTCGTGTGAGCCAAAATTCAGCTTTGTGAGCTACTGGCATTAAAGGTGTGAGCGAGCGATTGGACTGGAGCCCTCCTTCCTGAGCTGAGACAAAAATGTGTGAGCCGGAGGCTAAAAAACTGTGGAGCTAGCTCACACTAACTCAGCTTAGAGGGAACACTGGTCATAGGTGGAACATTGCCCATTCTCACAGATCTGATGGCTTTTTGGGACTTTCTGGGGAATACTGTGAAGGTCTGATGTTCTTCATCTCTCTAGAAGACATCACTGAAGATGACATTCTTGTTCAGAAACCACATCTTTATAGGGAAAAGCATGAATTTGCCTTGTGCATTTTCTAGAACTGTTACACTGTTAAAGAATTCTTAGCTGATTAAGCAGATGCATTTTAATGAATCGGCTCAATCTGCGTAATTTGCATTTGAATAAAGCTATATTTTTGAAGGAGGAAAAAGGCATATTTGGATTTTAGATCAAGTGTGCTACATTTAATCGGAGGCACTATCGCAAGCAGATAGTGTCTGTGGGGGAAGGGGGAATACCTCTTCTACGATGGTGCCCTTTTTAAATAGATGCTGTGTTTTGTTCGTTTGGGTTTTTTTGCCTTCACGTCACAGCTGACTTATGGTGACCCCATGGGGTTTTCAAGGCAAGAGACGTTCAGAGGTGGTTTGCTATTGCCTGCCTCTGTGTTATAATGACCCTGGTATTCCTTGGAGGTCTCCCATCCAAATACTAGCTAGGGTCAGCCACGCCTAGTGTCTGAGATTTGATGTGATCAGGCTAGCCTGAGCTATCCAGGTCAGGGCAGAAACTGTGTGCATTTCTTGAAATGTGTTGTATGTATTGTGATTATTTTACTGTTTTATCGTTCTTAAGTGGCTATGGTTCTTGGGCTAATGCACTGAACGGATGGAAACGCATTGCAGTTGGGAGCACCTTTTAATGGATCAAAAGGTTTTAATTGTATGATCTAACGGGTTAATCAAGTAAGCATTGTAGCCCTAGAATTGTTTTAAGGCAAGATGAACATCCTTACAACTCTTTTTACCACCTGCGCATGCATTAGGAAACATGAGCATTTATTAATATGGAAAACAGCACCTGAGAGTCATGCTGTGTCGTGTGCAGAAATAGCTTTTTGTGTAGGGCATCTGTTTTACACTGTGGTTTTTAGCTTGCTGTTTGGGAGGAGTATCGGTAGGGACATTATGGCATGCTGATTTGCTGTAGAACCACTGGTAGGCATAGCCAACAGATGTTCCTGTCGTGAAGTGGGTACAGAACAAGATTGTGATAGAGAGAGAACAAAACAAGATGAAGGTTGAACAGGGTTTGATGTGGCTCTGTAGTTAGGTCGGTGACACTGCAGATGAGACTGGGAGAAAGACCTAGGGAAGGGGCAGACAACTTGGGAAGTCAGGCTCAGACTGCATCCCCAGCATAGCCGTGATTCCAGGGTATCCCACATACTTGAGAATGCACCCTGGTCACTTTGTCTTACTCTGAGGATTGGTTTAACCACGAGGCTGGGAGCGGCTGTTTTTGGGTAGGTTGATGAGTAGGGGCCATGCAGATAGTGCGACATCTAGACTGGGTCACCAGCACCTATGTACGGAGTATTGGCGTGACAGGCATATCCAGTGTTCCATACATTGCCCTGTGCTGTAGTGCTACCCAAGTAGGCTTGGTGACATGGTGTAGACATGGTGCTGCTGGTTTCGATTCCCTGTATGGGTAACTTACGTGACCACTGTCACGTGTGACACTCCCCTGAGGCTCAGTAGACAGACTCTTTGGACCCTTCTTCCTGGTATGAATGGCCGCAGAGGTTCTGTTGGACTTCTCCCCTTGTGCATTTTTGCTGCTGTCTGCCGTGTGCAAGCTGAAACATTGTTCCTTGGGAATGAGCAATGGGTGGGGCTGCAGGAAGGCTCTGCCAAAGTGGCACTGAGGGAGGTGGGATTTAGAGGGTCTTTCCCCTGTGTCTCCACTTGTGTGAGAATGAGTCAGTGGGGGGGCGTGGCGTCGAGGCGAAGCGCGATGGACGCCTGAATGTTGGTCTCCGGCAAAAACCCCCTCTAAACCTATCAAAGCTGATATTCTGGACACGCACTCATGCGCCGAGGCTCGGGAAAAGATCCAAATCGCAAACGCAACGGTAATTTTGCGGTAAGAACGCCGTCTCTATCTTATTTCACACGAAATTCGGCAAGAAACTCGGCCTCCGGGAGAATTGATCCGAGACCCAAGATGGCGGCAGGCACTGGGGATCACGAGTCCGAAGGCTTAGGAGTTTCCCGCAAGGAGTTTCACGACTCCTTACAAAACATGGAACGAAACATGTCGGCAACAGTGGCAGAACTGTTAAAACCCATAACTGCCCAAATAGCTGACCTAAAGCAATCAGTACAACAAGCGGCGCAACTCGCTGATACGGCAATGGAGGCCACACTAGCCCTACAGGACGATTCCATGTACTTCTATCAAAAAGACGACTGGGCTACAGAAAAGATTTTACTATTGGAAAACCAACTTAAAATTCATAATTTAAAACTCCGCGGGATCCCGGAGGACTTGATAAAACCACCCGATCTAAAACCCCGCCTTACTGAATGGCTTGAGGGCATTCTAACACTAGAGAAAGGGAAACAGCCTATACTTGAATCTGCACATCGTCTAGGCAACGCAAAACAACAGCGCTCGAACTTTCCAAGAGACGTCGTCATAAAATTCCTAGACCTCAATTTAAAATATAAAACCCTTGCAATAGCAAGATCGAACACCCAACTTAACATTGAAGGCAATAAAGTGCAACTTTTTCAAGATCTCTCAGCTGAAACGCTATACCGAAGGCGGCAACTAAAACCAATAACGAAAGCCCTTGCAGACGCTAAAATCACTTACC